GCAGAGACTCCCAGCAGTCTCCAGGGTAGCACATTTCAGTTGTGTCTGTCGCAGGTCTCTGCACCACTCATGCTCACAGTCCCATGTGTCTAATTTCCTCCAACATATTCTGTAACCCAAATGACCTACACAGCCATGTTATTAGCTTTCTTTTTTCTTCTCTACTTTTTTTTTCTTTCTTCCCTCTTCTTTCTCTATCTTCTTTTTCATGCTTAGTACAAGAACACATCTCCACAAATACAGAGTGCCCTTCTTCATATCAAACCAGTCAAAAGTCCTGTACCAGATAATATATTTAGGTCTCAGTCAAAAACATCAGAATGTTTCTCAAATGTGGTTCTGAACTTTCTAGAGATTCCCACAACTATTCTTCTCTACTTTTTTTTTCTTTCTTCCCTCTTCTTTCTCTATCTTCTTTTTCATGCTTAGTACAAGAACACATCTCCACAAATACAGAGTGCCCTTCTTCATATCAAACCAGTCAAAAGTCCTGTACCAGATAATATATTTAGGTCTCAGTCAAAAACATCAGAATGTTTCTCAAATGTGGTTCTGAACTTTCTAGAGATTCCCACAACTAGAGAAATTTAAAGGCATGAGTTTATCCCAATCGTGGAAAATTCTGCTGCACCCCATGTTCTAGATATGCTCAGCCCATCACAGCTTTATAAAACAATAATATTTTCAAATATGGTAAAAATGTTACTAGTAAATCCTAAAATGTATTTAATGTAATTTCTGCTTTTAAACAATTTTAGGTATGATTTAGTGATACCTAATAAACTTGTATTATTAAATAATCTATTATATCTAGAGTTAGTTTCAAGTTCAGAAAAAAACAAATGTAATAAACATGCAAGAATTACTAATGTGCCTGCAGATTCAACTGTGTCTACACAAACCTCACAACAGCCCACCGACAGCATTAGGGAATGACGTAGTTTAACACTTTCTACATTGCCTTCCTCAATAAGGCTAAACTCTGTTCTTCCATAAAGCAATCCATTTCTTGTGAGGAAGAATCATGCCTTATATATTTTAATGAATGCCCTTGGCTCTCCCCATAAGCCAGGATTATAGGTTCTCGGTAGGAACATGTTGGGCTGAAGATTGGGATGCTGTGATTGCCACATAATCCCCTCAAATATCATCAGACATAAGAAAGTCTTGTATTCTGGGAGGAAAAAAATCCTTCTAAAGGTAGTTGTGTTGTATAGCAAAAGACTACTAACAATACTGGAGAAAATCATTATTAACCTGATTATTTGTTACTAAAAGATCCTGAGGATCAAAAAGGAATTTGGGCGGGGCATGGTGGCACACGCCTTTAATCCCACCACTTGGGAGGCAGAGGCAGGCAGATCTCTGTGAGTTCAAGGCCAGCCTGGTCTACATAGTGAGTTCCAGGACAGCTGGGGCTACAGGGTGACCCTGTCTCAAAGAGACCAAAAAAAAAGGGGGATCCTGGTGACTGTGGAAAAGCCATTTTTAATCTGAAATGATAAATCTGACTCAAAAGCTCTACAAGGCAAATCTACCTTTCCCTAAGGATTAAGTGTAAGACAAAACTGTCAGGGATTGAAGATTGAAGAAAAGAGGGAACACAGAACCCAAGGATTGTTAAATCCATTAAACTAAATTTATAAATAAAGACATACACCTATAAATTGCTCTTTATAAACTGACACATCTCTACATTAGAATTTTTTTAGCTTTTTAAATTTATTTTATTATTTTTTAATTATTTATTTAATAATCACAAGATCAGAAGAAGCATTTCATTACAACAGCATTGACATATTCAATAACAACTTCCAGAGCTAAGATATATCTCTTTCAAAATTGACTGTAAATTTTTAGGTTCACAGTTGAATTAATACAGTTATACAATATTGAACTCTGTATAAAGCCCATAAGACATAAAATTGAATGAGGTTTTAACCTTTAAGAAACATCTGCATTTCATTTTAAAATATATTGTTTCATACAGAAAACAATATCATTTTTAATGCTACCAACACTTAGATGTTTGCATATGCATCTCTAATCTCTATGTACCTGAGTATTACTAGTCAGAGTCGGTTACTTTCTGAGATCCTTGGCACCTGAGCATGGATATAAGGTCATCAGGTAGATTTTAATGGTAGTATTTTTCACCTCTACTAATTAACATGAAGCAAATTTTTATGCTTCTTCCTCAAATATAACAAATTTTTTATTTGTTGATTTTTTGTGTTTTTCATACAGAACATCACAAACAATCTTATTCATCTACATACCCACATCCCAAATGACAGTTTATTTTTACACCCATTTCCCAGATAGTACCCTCCCATAGCCTCCCTCCCCCAACTAGAGCCCTTATATTCTGATATCCCTGCTACTGTCTGCTGTGTTGTCAGTACCCCCAGCCATTCCCCACTACTTACCCTTCTGGTGAATCTAGTCAGCCTATCTAGAGAGCTTTGATTTAGGAGGGTCAGCTGTTCCTCATTTAGTGGTAATCAGTTGTCAATATTCCTTTGGATAAGATTGTGGTCTGCTGTTCATTTTCCCAGTTCTATGCTGGATTACTATCTGGGAATCTCTTTGGCCACCCTGGCCATCAACTCAAAAGAAGGTCTCTCCTGTCTGGCATTGTTGCTTGTTAGGTAGCCTTTAGCTATACATATGGACTCTTATGAAATTATATTGGCCCTTTTCCTTTTGGGTGTTTAAAGCCATATAGTTGGACCAGATAAACCGATTTATTTTTACTCTAAAGGTCATTTGAGGATCTGTTCCTCAGGGGTCACATGGGCTTGGGAGGAGCCCCTGGCTCCTTTCTTTTACAGTTCCACCTATATGAAGATAAGTCAAAGGACCTACTCGACCATGGTTGGCTTCGCTTGGAAGCATGGAGGAAATGATTTCTCTGTGTTGACCCTCCTCTTTATAGACTGGACACTGGTTCAAGTCCATCTGGTATGGTCGTCTCGGCCTCCTTGATCAAGAGGACAGGTGACCCACCACCATTATAGGACATTTTGAGAGATGCTCATAGTCCCCTGGAACTAGTCGACCTAGGAGGGCAAGGAGCAAAAAGTGTCCTTTATGTCCCTCTGACCAAATTAGTATAGGCCTCAAAGTATGTCTGTTAAATACCCAAAAAGGTTAGTTCCACCAGTCTGGTATTTTTAATTACTGTGTGTCATGTAGATAAATCTTGGGCAAAGACCAGTTGTTCTCAGATAAACCTTACCTAGACATATATTTCTTGATCTGCTATGTATAATTTGTCAGTAGGGTGTAGGAGTAATATGGTTCCCTCTGGTTTTCAAAACTAGCTAGGCATTGTTTATCTCTCGCATTGTCTCACCCCTCCATCATGGTTTTCCCATTTAAGGTGCCCCCATTTCCCCCCTTTCTCCCTTACTAATACCCTTCTCCTATGGTCCTACCTCTCTTGAGCTCCTTCTTTCCCTTTATTCCCTAGGTTCCTTCATTAGAATATTTTTTGCATCACAATCCAAGTGTGGTTGTACATTTCTGAGGCAGAGGCAAGCAGATCTCTGTGAGACTGAGGCCAGCATGGTCTACACAGTAAATTCCAGACAAGCCAGGACTACAGGGAGACCCTGTCTCAAAAAAACAAACAACAACAACAAAAAAATTACACCAAATAAGTAGCTCACTGTACTCTGGACTGATGACCTGCTATGAAGGGAACCTAGGAGGCAAGGGTTTGAGGTCAGGAGTCTCTGACCAAGAGGTGAGCCTAAGGACTCTCAAATGCCAGAAGCAGAAGTAAATGTACACACACAGCCTGGCTTTAACTTCCCACAAAGGCCACTGCCTAATGATCTGCTGACCTTCCTCAACTCACTGACTTCTGGAACTCAGCAAGGGGTCTGATTTTCAATTCTACAATTAATATTAATAAAATAAATACACCCTTGCTCCATAAAACTGATGTTTTACAAACAGCAAACAAAAAGAAAAAACTAATCTGACTACTCTATGTAACTGCAATCTCTTAAAAGTCTATATATTCACTTTATTTCTTTTACAGGACTATTGAACACAGTGAATAACTTAATACAGGCTGATAGCAACCAACAAAAAAACCATGTTATAAAATGCAAATACTTCTTCCAGCATAAAACTATTTATGCAGTTAGCTTCTAAACATCAGATTTATAACAATTTCTCTGAATTATTCTAGAAGACTATTTGCACATAATTTCTAGAAATCTCAACCCCAGAGTTCTTCCACTATAAACTGCATTTAATATTTTTAATCAAGGTGGACTGATAAGATGACTCAGCAGATAAAAGTGCTTGTTCAACTAGCCTAACTACCTGAGTTCAATCCCAGGAACTACATGAAAGGAGGAAAGAGACAACCAACTCCACAAAGTTGTCTTCTACACTCCACATGTGCACCATCAAATGCATGTTCCTACATGCATACACACACACACACACACATACGCACGCACAACACACACACACACACACAGAGTACACATTAGTAAATATTTATAAATACCTTTCTAATCAACAACTTGCTTAAAAAACATTCTAGAACGTCTGCAATCAGTTATATAGACATTCTTACAAACTGAAAACTTAACAGAAATTAATCCTGACTTCAACCAAAAATTAATCCTGCAACTGTATTAATAACTTAGTCTTAGAAGAATATTCTAGTGTGGCTATATTTACAGAAAATGGTACCATTTAGTAAAATGTCCTCAAGTCTCCATTTATGATTTGCAGAAAAATCAAACTACACAGACACAGAGACCTATTTGAGGACTAATTCTAATCACTTCCACTCTGATTATAATAGTACTGTATTAGAAAGCCTTATAAGGAAACTTGGTAAAGTGAAATTTGAGTTCAAATTCTTTTTTAAAACCTTTTGGGTCCCAGCATAGAAATATTAACTCTTATTTGTAGTGCTTGGGAAACAGTGAAGTGTGTGCTTTAAAGAAGAAAGCAGAATTCATTTTCACCTGCATTGACGCTCCTTCCACTCTTGCCACACAGGCAACCCGATCCAAGAAAGTGACTGCCACAGGCACCGCCACAAAGAAGCCTTTACAAAAGGCCTTGAAGTATCTTCTCACCCAGCCTTGTGACTGTGCCATACCTAGGTATACAAAGACAACAAAAATTACCCTCAAGAAAGCAGAAAAACAAGGCCATAAAAACAAGATAGGAAAAACAAGAATTGTTTGGGGTACAGCTCAGTGGTAGAGCATGTGCTTAGCATCCACAAGGCCCAGGGTTTGATCCCCAGCAACACAAAAGAAAAGAAACTTAGAGAAGAGCAATACTGTTTCTTAATATATCTCATATTCATCCCTGTAACCAGTAGACTAAGTCTGACTTATAGTCCCAAAGGGAAATGCATTAATTCAGATTAAGTCTTTTCAGTAGCTCAAGTCTACCTGGAAAATTCAGTGGAAAATGTGTCCCCACAAAACAATAGTAAGTTAGAAAAATCTATTATTCCAAAACAAAATCATTTTCTGTTGTTATAATGGTAAAGTATGTTCTTACTTGCCTACTAGTAACTTAATAAAAATTGTTTATCCAACTAGAAATGAGTCCCGAGTCTCTTCATATGTGTGTGACCATGTGACTGGGTCTGGCCAATGGCATGAGTAGATATTACAAATTTCCAGATTGTGCCTTTAAAAAGGACATGTTTTCTGCTCTCCTCCACACCCGGAATACATCAATTCGATGGTAGTAGTACCTCTGCCCTACCAGCAGATTTTCTGTTCTCCATCCCTCTATTCATTCTCATTTACTTCTCTTTCCTGAACCCTCACTCAAGCACACCATGATCAGCATGTGCACTAAAAGTGCCTGTTAATATCATGTCACAATGGTGATTTTCTATGAAAAAAAGATGTCAAGTCCAGCCAAGCCAGACCAGTTCAAACTGACTTGGCTCCCCACTAACATTCCTGCTAGCTGCCCCTCCAGTTCCATCCTGTCACATTTTAAGTATGATATATCTTCATAGTAAATTTCCCACAGTACAGTGCCATCACAGTTTACAATTTCCATGAGAATCCTAGGAACTGGCAAACAAGGTATGATGGAAAACGAGAGGCAAAATTCATGAAGACAGAATGGCACCCTCCTAGAAAAGTCATAAATATTCTGCCACTTATTCAACATACTGACTGTTTACTTCTTTCACTTGCTAGTGAAAGAGCCTGACTGCTAGCTCCTATGTTTCACTGGGCACTGGATAAAATCCTGTTTTTTGACCTCTATCTGACATGGTTATTGGCTCTTCTCTGAAGAACTGAAGAACCAAGAATTGGCTCTGCAAAAATTAGTTAACAGTAGAAATAAAAGTAGCCACCTCAAGCTCTAAAATAAAAACTATAAAGATTGTTAGGCCAGATGTGGTGGCACATACCTTTAATCCCGCCAGCACCTGGGAGGCAGAGGCAGGTAGATCTCTGTGAGTTCAAGGCCAGCCTGATCCACACAGCAAGTTCCAGGCCAGCTGGTGCTGCAAGGAGACTCTGTCTCCAAAAAACAAAACAAAACAAAACAAAAAAAAAAACTATAAAGATTGCAAAGCAACAAATAAAAGGATCCTAAGTCCCCAACACCAATGGAGGCAACTTAATTGTGTCCCATTGATTAAAAAATCACTTCCTATTATTATAAACATGCTGCTGAAAAACTCATCCTAACAATGAGAATTCAAAACCTAGTTAAATCCTTCATGTAGTCCTGTAATCATGTGATTAACTGTCAGATTTTGTAAGAATCAGGAGATCCAGGCTGGAGAGATGGCTCAGTGATTAAGAGCACTGGCTGCTCTTACAGGTTCAATTCTCAGCACCCATGGTTGCTAACAGCCATCTGTAACTTCAGTTCCAGGGGATCCAACACCTTCTTCTGACCTCCAAGGGTACTGCATGATACAGGTGCACTTACATACAAGCAGGCAACACACTCATACACTTAAAAGTAATAAATAAAATAGGGCTGGAGAGATGGCTCAATGGGTAAGAGCACTGACTGCTCTTGCAGAGGACCAGGGTTCAATTCCCAGCACCCACATGGCAGCTAACAACTGTGGGTAACTCCAGTTCCAGGGGACCCGACACCCTCATTCTGACTTCCATGGGCACTGCAAAACACAGGTACGTTTAAATGCATGCAGGCAATATACTCAATACATAAAATAAAGAATAAATAAAAGATAAAAAAGATTTTTTTAAAAAAATAATAAATAAAACTTTAAAAATCAGGAAATCCCCTGTCCTACGCAATTAAAACAGAATACTAAAGGATCAAGCTGTGTCATAGTATTATTACTTTATTAAAGAATGCCCCTGGATGTCAAATAAATCGCCAGTTTGTTCACTGTTGAATTTAGAGAAGCTCCAGGTACAACCCAGAAGCAGAAGGAACAGTGAACGAGGAGGAAGGGCCAAGACAAATGCTGATTTTTTTCCTTACTCGACTTACAATGTGAGACTAGATAAGGATAATCTTTAAAATACTATTTAACATAATCATGAAGCTCCTTCAATCCTAAACCTACAAGTTAGCTTGCTTCCCAGATGACCTAAGATTTCTCATCCTCATGAGCAGGTCCAAAAGGGCTGAGAAAGGCAATTAGACCAAGCATCTGCCAGGAAAGCATGGGCCAGGACTACTTTTGGGCTTTCTTTTTTTTCTTTTTTTTCTTTTGTTTAAAGTTCCCAAAAGTCACACTCACAGCAATGCTGTGAAATATTCATATTACAGAACAGCAAGAAGCCAAAACGAGGTGAGAACACGCAAGTGTTGTGGTGTGGATATGAACTGTCCCCCACAGTACCACATTTGAACAACTGGTCCCCAGCCCATGGGGCTGTTTGGGGAGGCTGTGGAAGAAGGTAGCTGGGGGCACGCTGCTGAGAGTTAGAGCTCATCCTTGGCCCTTCTCTCCACTCTGCTTCCTCGCCCCCATGATGAGAGCTGCTCCACCAGGGCCCCCAGCAGGCCAGACTGAAACTCTTAAGTGTAGCAAATCTTTCTTCCTGTAAGCTGTTTCTGTCAAGTGTTTGGTCACCAGGGTGAAAACACTAACACAAAAAGTAAAAGTAACTGAGAAATTTATAACAAAGATGGAAGTGAAGGTGGGAGAGAAAGCAAATAAACATTATCTTTAAAAAAATAGAAAAACTAGGGAGCCAAGAAAGGGTAATGGGGTAAATGTGATCAAATTGCATTATATACATGTATGAAAACATACATAAGGAAACCCATTATTGTGTATAAATTATTATATGCTAATAAATAACTTTTTTTTTTTTTTTTGGTCTTTTTGAGACAGGGTCTCCCTGTAACCCCAGCTGACCTGGAACTCACTATGTAGACAACCAGGCTGGCCTTGAACTCACAGAACCTCCCCAGTGCTGGGATTGAAGGCATGTGCCACCATGTCCGGCAATAAAGAACACTTTTAAATGCAGAAAAAACTATAGCCAAATTCTTCCCAGATACTTCTGAAGATTTCAGTCAGTGAACTATGTAATTTAACCCGGACATGGGAGACAAAAGGAATAAGGGAAGAGACTGCGGTTACCTAAGGACGCCAAGTGCTGTGGTCATGGAACCACCTGCAGGCCCAGGGGACTGCTTTCACTTTACCGTCAAGGATTTTTTTTTTCCTTTGTGAGACACAGAAGCTTATGTGTAGGGGACTGGAAGCTCAGAGCTTTTCAGACCCTAACCGAACTAAACATTCTCCAGTTATCGACCTACAAAAATGGCTTTCAAACTGTGACCATGTCCAACATGAAGAAATATCTTTTCCAGCCCAATATTCCTCATACAAACAACACATTTTTACATACACACACATCACAGGAAGAAGCAACTGAAAGCCACCCAACAACACATATCCAGAGTCTGCTGCATATCATTAAAAACAAAAACAAAACTAGGTGGGTGTGGTAGCATACACCCTTAATTCCATTCAGAGGCAAATGGATCTCTGGGAATTTAAACCCAACCTGGTCTACTTAGCAAGTTCCAGACCAGTCAAGATTATATAGTGAGACCCTATCTCAAACAAAACAAAACAAAAGCCTACTAGTAGCAAATCAATAAATTAGTTTTTATGATCCACTATAGGATCTTGATATATGAATATCTCTACAACAAACTCCCCTAAAATCTGTCTTATATCACAAGGGGAAAAACCACTATTATGTGAATTGGCTACTTCTTTTTTGTTTTTCTTTGGGGGGGGGAATTGGTTACTTCTTAATGTCCTACTGTAACCGACATCAGTAGACATTATACATATACATGCATGGTAGGGAATAAAGACAAGTAATATTTCTCTACAGTTTTGTCAACAGATATTGCACAATCATAACATTCACCCAAGCCCATAATCTTTTATATCAAACTGAAATAAGTGTAACTGCAGACTAACTTTAGAAAATAAGCAATTTAAAAACATGTTTTCATTCCAACTCATCTACCAACTGTAACCTTAAATAAAATTGCTTATGAGTTCTTACATCTGGTACTGAAGAAATGTATTTGTCCCAGGGTGTAAATGTTTCTGAGCTGCTTCTAACCACTGAGCTAATGAAATAGGAAATCCATGTGACATGTTTCATACCAAAATTTAATGTGAGCTTTGAATAAAATTAATTTCTCTTCAATGTATATTAATCTTTAATCAAGATGCATGTACCAACTCCTTTTATATACATCCAAAATATATCTAACATAACTTTTCAGTGGCCTGTTTCACCAACATCCCACTATCATCATTACATGATTTAACATGTAACTTTAGCACATTAATTGAACTGATATTTTAGATGTAAAAAGATGCATTTTCCTCAACTTTGGGTTTCATTAGTTCAGTCTCTCTGAAAACACTTCCAATTGAAATTGCTTTTAGATTGTTAATATTTTTAAATGCTCTTTGACATGATTTGTACTATGCATTAGTCACTTTCTTGTTGTGACAGAATACCCAAGAGAAACAATTTAAGAAGAGAGGGACTGATTTGGGCTTACAGTTTCCAAAGTTTCTGTGCACTGCTCAGAGTACTGCCACTATCATATGCACAATAAAGTCAGAGAAAGGATTTTCTGTTA